CACAGAGAGCTGCGGGCGCCCACCCTGCGCTGCTCCGGAGCCACCGTGGCTGGGGTCACCCTGCCTCAGACCCCCTCACCTGGGAGGTTATGAAAGGTTCAAAGCTCCTCGCGCTAAAACTTAATGAAGAGGGGGAAGGGCATGGGCTTTTGCCCAGGACCCTGCTGTGCCCCGTCGTGTCCCCAAGCCATGGGGTACCAGGAAAGCCAGCGGCTTCACCCAGAGGCAGTCCTCCCGCAGCACCGACGAGCCCAGCAGCGGCCTCAGCAAGTCCCAGGAGCAGTGAGGGACCACCCCCGGCCACCTCCACCCAGGCTTTGCCTCCCCACCACCCAAAGCCCGCTATGGGGCTGGGGTTTGCACCGCCCAGCCCGTTCCACACCACCAGCACTGGGCTGGCATCCCCGGGGCCGAGCCCGGCGCCAGCGGTCACCTGGAACATGGGGTAGGTCAGGAAGGTCTCCAGGGTCCTCTCCTCGCAGTCGGGCTTGGCCTCGTAGTGCTTCAGCAGCTTGTCGAAGTCCCGGTTCTGCTTGCAGTGCGCCAGGATCTGCAGGCTGTACTGGTGGTTCCTCACGAACTCCTGGTAGATGTTCAGCATGGGCAGCAGGATGTCGAACAAGTCGGCTGCGAGCAGAGAGGCGGTGGGGAGGTGGGTGTGCTGGTCCAGCCCACACCCTGGGGTCCCGGCACAGCCTCCCCCCAGCTCCTGACCCTCCTCATCCCCCGGTGTCCCACCCAGGACACCTCCCAGAGCCTCGTGCTGCTTGTGCAAGCACCAGGTCTGCCCAGTTTGGGTTTTAAAGACACCCTGTAGTGCTTGCCCAGGGTCTCATCGGACACAGCAACACCCTTCAGCATCAGCTCTCCTGTGCACGGCCCAGCCCACCCCTTCCACCGCCCGGCAGAGCCAGGAACGCAGGAACTGGGTTCCTCCGGGTTTTTCTGCTCCTGTCCTTGCCTTTGTGACCGACACGAACAAGCAACAACGTGCTGTGTGTCACCACTGCCGCCGGTTAGCAAAATGCCTGTTGAGTTGCAGGAGGAGGAGGAGGAGGAGGAGGAGCAGCACGGGCTCGGCTCCACCAGCGAGTGGGAAGGAAAGGCGGCGAGGAGGCAACACGCACTCACCCAGCACCAGCGTCGGCCAGCTGGATATCCTCGCCTTCAGGCCTTGGTAAAAGATTTGGTGCAAAAACATGATTGTTTCGCTGAAAGATAAACCAAGGGGTGAAAAGACAGAAGAACAAGTGGCAAATAATGAGCAGTCAGACAAAATCACCAGCCCCGGAGCGGGAGCAGGGGAGCCCTGGGACTGGCTGGGGAGGTTCAGGCTGGATACTAGGAAGAATTTCTTTACTGAAAGGGTTGTCAGGCGTTGGAACAGGCTGCCCAGGGAGGGGGGGGGGTCACTATCCCTGGAGGTCTTTAAGAGACAGGTAGGTGTTGTGCTTAGGGACATGGTTTACTGGTGTTGGTAGAGCTGGGACAAAGGTTGGCATCGATGATCCTGAAGGTCCCTTCCCACCGAAACTGCTCTATGATTCTGTGAGCGAACGCCAGGAGCCACAAGC